CGCGGTCATACAACATTGTACCCAAACTAAAATTTTATAATTTTCTTCACACAACTAGAGATTTCTTTTGGTGGTATTTAATCACCGCCGGGGTTTTTTATTTTTTGATAAATTAACAAAAAAAGACCAAAAAGTTTGAAAAAAAAACACGTTTTTCTTTGTTTCTGTTCTAAATGTTTACAAATAAATAATTGTTCTTCATACATTTAGGCCAAGATGTATTCTGCTACATGTCTTTGGTGAAAATAACCCAAATTAGGATGTATTTTTTAGTTTGTCGGAAAGTTATAGAGTTCACAAACTATGGTATAGATCTGAAAATTGATCAATCCTGAAGTACTGACAGCCAATCTAATTTCTTCAGGTCCAAGAATGTCAGAACAGTACAGATATCCCCAAATGACCCCTTTTTGCAGAGTAGACAGTCCGTCGTACTTCATAAGAGGCATGGCGAGTTTTTTGAAGTTGTATTTTTTTTGTCATAATTTTTGGAAAATGAAAAAATTAAAAAAATTATTTTCACTATTTTGTTTTTTACATACTGTTACCAGTGCAGTACAGCGTCATCATATAACTGGCATGGCAGTGAACAGGGACACTGACTGGTGACAGTATGAAAAAAAAAATATATATTATTATTTTAATTTTTTTTTATTTTTTTATTATTTTTAATTTTATATTACTTTTTTTTTTAAGATTTTTTTTCATATTTTACTATGACCAAAGTAGTACAATGTTACCATAGTAACATTGTACTACTTTGGGGAAGTGATCAGTATTTTTTTTTTTTTTTTTTTTTACACAATTTGCTTATAGCAAAGAATTACTTTGCTATATGCAAGCATTTACCTGAATGACATTGATTCATTCAGGTTTTTTTTTTTTTTTGTGCTTAGCTGTGATTTGGCCATAGCTAATCACATGACATGTGCATGTGATCTGCTGTGACCATTCACAGCTAGACACTAGTATACAATGGATGGCATGAATGAAGCCATCCATTGTATACAACTGTCATGTGAGCTGCTGTGATTGGTCACAGCAGGTCACATGGTACCGGCAACAGGGGCCGGTGCTCAGATCTGTCATCGGCCTTGTCCGAGGTACACGGCCAGTGATAGATCGCGACGCTGCACGGCTCTGCAACCACGCGAACTGCGCATGTGCGGGAGGGCGCCAAATGGCGTACACCCCGGAAAATTAATGCATTTTTGCGCCCGCCAAACGGCTATAGGCCAGGCGGCTAATTGTTAAAAAAGGATAAGCACTATCATAGTGTATTTTGGATGGTACTGAGCTGAGGAATGAAGGAGGAGAGTGCCGTTTTTAGGAGGATTGGGATTACAAGAATGCTCTGTTCAGAATGCTCTGTGTGGTCCACTTAGGGGGACAAAAGCACATTTTGACCAAGCATCCTATGTGAGGTCAAAGGATCCAGGAGAGAGTACATCTGGTGGTGACAATATACAAAGAGTGAATTAAATTATATGAGCACGGATGGTGGACGTTATCTTCACATAAGCAGCATTCAAGATAATATCTTTGCTAAAGGGACTTTGAAGGACCTTTTATGTTTTTCTTTGTTTGGATGTGTATATTTCCAAAATATTGCACTAGCACAGCACTTGCTTATTTCAACTGGAAGCAAAATAATTCCTTCTGCTTTCAACACAAAGCATGTCACTTTCACACCTGCAAATCATGCATTGTTTCCATAATTTTGTCCAACCCCTGTATTTTTATTTTTACATTTTTGTTTTACTCTTTTTTTTTATGTGTATAAAATCTTTTTTTACTTAAAAGCATGTAGGATAGCTTGTGCCTGTGACATCTGTTTTGCAGAGCATTATGGTTTTTCTAAAAAGAGAACCTTATAGTTCATCTTTTTGGCAGCTTCTCTATAATTGAAAGTCTGTACACAGGAGCACAGAGAACAGAGATATGCAAGGGAGCATACACAACCCCTAAACTCTTCCTATATGTATAACACTTTTTTAAGTCAAGATATTATCCTTGCTTCCTTTCCATACAATAAAACAGTATGTAAAGCTGGCCATACACATGGCTGAATGGAAAAAATCTAACAGATTCCTCCTTCCACACTACATAGCACTGATGGACGAATCACCCGCTTCAGCTATTGCATTTTTTGACAGCTGGTCCCCAAAGTGTTGGGTTCTGCAACTTGACCACAGCAGAGCAACATGGGCACCTTGAGACATGTCTTCTTTGCATTGCACTCTTCTGTGTCACAGGGATTCTTTATTCTGATCAGCATGTTCCCTGCCAGCCCATGTACACTGTTGGAGAGCTTAGTTAGCTTCTAGTGCTGCCTTTCCCTCTGCCAGGCTGAGTGTTATTATACAAGGGATTACTGGAGGCAGATATCAAGGCACATTTTTATACTAGTTTCATTTTTAAAACACATTTTTATTAATATATAACTGTATTAATTGATTTTTTTTTTAATCTGCCTAGAGATCAGCTTTGAGATAATGGCCATGCTTGCACAATCTGCAAATGTATTTGTGAAAATGTACTATGGGAGAAATGCATAGGATTACAAAATTCTTATCGAAGTTAACATTTCAATCCTCTTTATCAAAGATTCTTAATTTGTAAGACCACAATATGTTTTGCTGTGGCTCTCAGGCAGTCTTATGAAAAGAAAAAAAGATGCTTAAGAGAATCCTACAGAAGAAGGGATTCTTTAGTTGCTTTTTTCTTTGAGAAACAAAGGAACCAGGTTTCAGCTCCCAACAGTCATGCTTATATAAAACACACACACACATATATACAGTTGTGGCCAAAATTATTCAACCCCCAATGCTGTAAAGGGGTTTAGGGACTATAGTGTACATTTGGAATTGTATTCAGAATCAAATCCTACAAGGACGTTGTAACTACCCAAATGCAACTAAAATGACATCAATTGTTTATGTAATACAGTAGTAAATGGTTCTTATGTGGTTTCTTCATTGCCACAATTATTCAACCCCTTAAAGACTACCACTCTGAAGAACAGAGGTTCATACAGGTGCTTTCCATCAGGTATTGAAAACACCTGTGGATGTCACCGAGCAGCAATCAAGCATAATAAGCACCAATTTTTTAAAATGACTGTGATACTCAGCTCCTTCTAGACATTTACTGGTGTGGTTACAAACATGGTGAAGGCAAGAGAATGGTCCAGGAAGACAAGAGAAGAGGTGATTTCTCTTCACAGGAAGGGCAATGGCTATAAGAAGATTGCAAAGATGTTAAACATACCAAGAGACACCTTAGGAAGCATCATTCGCAAATTCAAGGCAAAGGGCACTGTTGAAACGCTACCTGGTCGTGGCAGAAAGAAGATGCTGACTTCGACTGCTGTGCGCTACCTGAAGCGTAGAGTGGAGAGAAGTCCCCGTGTGACTGCTGAGGAACTGAGAAAAGATTTGTCAGATGTGGGTACAGAAGTTTCAGCCCAGACAATAAGACGCACACTGCGTAATGAAGGCCTCCGTGCCAGAACTCCCAGGCGTACCCCCTTGCTGTCTCCAAAGAATAAGAAGAGTCGACTGCAGTATGCCAAAAGCCATGTGGACAAACCACAAAAGTTGTGGGATAGTGTTCTGTGGACTGATGAAACAAAATTAGAACTGTTTGGGCCCATGGATCAACGCTATGTTTGGAGGAGGAAGAACAAGGCCTATGATGAAAAGAACACCTTGCCTACTGTGAAGCATGGTGGAGGGTCAATCATGCTTTGGGGCTGTTTTGCTTCTGCAGGTACAGGGAAGCTTCAGCGTGTGCAAGGTACCATGAATTCTCTTCAGTACCAGGAGATATTGGATGGAAACGTGATGCAGTCCGTCACACACCTGAGGCTTGGGAGACGTTGGACCTTTCAACAGGACAATGATCCCAAGCATACCTCCAAGTCCACTAGAGCATGGTTGCAGAGGAAAGGCTGGAACATTTTGGAGTGGCCATCGCAGTCACCAGACTTAAATCCGATTGAGAACCCTCTGGTGGGACTTAAAGAAAGCAGTTGCAGTGCGCAAGCCTAAGAATGTGACTGAACTGGAGGCCTTTGCCCATGAAGAATGGGCGAAGATACCCGTAGATCGCTGCAAGACACTTGTGTCAAGCTATGCTTCACGTTTAAAAGCTGTTATAACTGTAAAAGGATGCTGTACTAAGTACTAAGATTGAATGTCACTTGGGGGTTGAATAAAACTGATAATGCTGTGAGCACAGAAAAGACATTTGTGGTTATTTCATTATAACTGTTATGTTATATTTGTCTGACCTACAAGTGCCTCTTTAATGTAAATGTAAGCAAGATGACTGAATGATCAAAAGCAATGTCAAACTGGCCAAAACACTCAATTTCAGTGGGGGTTGAATAATTTTGGCCACAACTGTATATACATATACACACATACACACACAACCATATAGAAATGAAAATCATACTGAACATCTTTGAGTCACTAGACTGTAAAGCTACTTGTTACTAGAGTATGGCTTGCAAGGTCATAGTTATGTTACGGTATATGTAAACCCCCACCTTGTAAAACAGACCATTCAGTTCAAAATAGAAATGAAAGGCAAAACATTTGTATAGCTATGAAGAAACATTATAAATACCTTTTTTGTAAGTGATCACATAGCCTCTGTTCTCAGCTGCATACAAGCTGGGGGAGGAGAAAGGGCAGAACACAGAACTTTCCAGTGAAAGACTGTGCAGTGGGGGCATGTCAGGCCAGGTTTGATCATTGGAGGAGAGCCGGTTCAGTTACTAGCACAGCTATAGAAATGACCACGCTGTGCTCTCATCTCTAGTATAGTCAATTTTTAATAGGAAAGCAGAGGGACTGGCAGGAACACCAGGGATTTCACATAAAGGAAGCAATACAACAAGAATAAGATACTTTTACATACAAGTACATAATACAGCAGGCATATATCGAGAATATGAAATTTTGCGTTTACATATTTTTTAAAGGATAAGCTCACCTTTGTAAAAAGAAATAAAATAAATTATCATCATTTTTCAGGTTCTGCAGTCAGTGTAAGCTGTCTGCTCATACCTCATATGGGCAGACAGTTACACAATGACAGGAAAAAACAATGATCTACCTAGAGCACTCAACAGCACCCTGGTAGTTCATTGAGAACTACGAGCTGACAACCCCAAAGGATGTCAGTACTTGTAGTTCTCTTCTACTTGTTGTTCTCTTATTCACAGAACTCTGTGAATGAATGACACAGCCAGAAACTGCCACTTTTTTTTTTTAAATTGTGACAGCGAGTTCAGGGAGAAGATCCCAAGCTTGCTGTCACTAGAGGGTCAGAGAGAGGCTGCAGCAATGAAAACATGTTACATTTTTTCAAAGCTGAACTTATCCTTTAAATGTCCCTTTCCCTGTTTAGTAGTATAAGTGCAATAGATTTTCAGCCCTCTTTTTTACACAAAGGTGTATAGATCTCACGGGTGCTTGCAAAAAATTGTATAAATTATGGACAAATGTAGATTCATATATTGTATGCGATAAGAGCTACTACATTGCCACTTAAAGCAGACTTTTATCTCCCAAATACAAAGCTCTATTTTACATATACTGTAGCTCTGCATGAACAGCAATAAAGCAAGTTTTACACTGAAAGATGATTAATTGAGTTGTTTGTAAATTTACATTTTTGTCTCCACTCCCTGGTTGTCAAGCGCCTGTGGTAGTGAGTCTTTGTAGATTGCCAACTCAGTATTCCCCAGGGCATGAAGTCTAAGCTCCATCCTGCTTCTTCACTAAAGCACCTGATGGTGGAGATGGGCTTACAGCAAGCTAGAACCAGGTCGTGGCCCCCAGGTACACCCAGCTGAGGATGTGGAGACCGCTCGCGTGAGCAGAGTACAATGACAGGAGACAACAGGAAATCTAATAGACAAGCCAAGGTCAGGATGGGCGGAAATCAAGCACAGTTTGTGAACAAAGCCGGGGTCGGTACACAGGTAGTCAGATACAGGATAAAGAAGTAGCAACAAACAGGAGCTCAGCGAACTAAGAAGTTGCTCAGGCAAAGTGGCCTAGACTGAGCATGTCTTATATAGGCAGGCAAGCTAGGAGGCAGGCCAGAAAGTGATGAAAGGGAAGGAAATAAAACCCAGGGAATAGCAGGTGACCACCCATAGGTGAGCACAGACAAACCACACATGTGAAGGGGATAAGGAAAAGCAACTCAGCAAGGAGGTAAGAATGCACAACAAGAAACTGCAGGCTAACTTGTAACACTGGTTTTCAATGGGCACTTCCAGAGAGATTTTGCCTGATCTTACTAAAGCCCCATACTGGACCTGGCCTGGTTTGCTATTATTCTAAATCAAACTGCACCACGTTTCCTACTGTGCATGCACTGATACTATGCAATAACAAGCCACACCAGGTCTCATATGATGCTTACATGGAATGGTCATGTCTGCCGTAGGAGATCTAGCATGGATTGCTACTTATCAATAACAAACTGCTGAGATCCCCTGTGTCACATGCAAGAGATCAAGCACCAGTAATCAATTATGTCTTTTTAAAAAATGGTTGTTCAACTTTCCCATCTGCTGGGGGGTCAGAGCATGGGCACTGAAGAAAATGTGAAGCCAAGTAATGAAAAAAAAACTTAAAATCTTGTTATTTTTCGAAAGATTGCACTGCTGTTAGTTTTTGTGGGTGGTGGAGACAGCTCCATTTTAGGTATTCATGTAATGTTAAGTGTCACTGTGAAGAATGGAAAAGGGTACTTGACTGTCCCCAGGACCGGCGCTAGACTACTTTGCACCCTAGGCAAGACGAGCTACTTGCACCTCCCCCCAAAAAAATAGATTTTAAACCATAGAAAATATTAAATAAAAAAAAACTGAAACTGATACATTTCTTTTAATTTGCAAAAATAAGTGCTATAAGATACCACCAGCACCAATATTAAAGACAAAATCAGTATCGCTGGCAGTGGCAGAGTGACAGTTGCAGTGGGTGGAGGATGATGGATCCACACTCTGACATATTCCAGGCTGGAATTCCCCTGCCAATTGGGGAGATAAAATGGTGAGACAGTAGGCAGCGCAGCTCACACACACAGAGAACACCTGAACTGAGTGATCCCACACAGTGACAGATCTGACAGCCACCAACACACAGCCACCAACAATGACACAGATCAGCAGGCCCAGCAGGCACTAGAAGAGCAGGCTGAGGGATTGTTATGATGTCATCTCTCACTGACACATTGCACATGTGATGGATGGCTGGCCAGTTTGGCACACACTCACACAGGTACAAGACATTAGAGTCAGACGTTGCCTTCCTCCGCAAGTGCAGCTCTGCCTCCGCTGATGAATGGGAAGAGAAGGGCTGGAACTTTACAGTGATTAGCAGCCGTTAGCCGGCTTGCAGTAAGAGACTGAGTCTGAGACAGGGGCGGACTGACAACTTATGGGGCCCCCGGGCAATAGGAAATCATGGGGCCCCTGTGTCCTCTCCCACACTCAAACCACACCCAAAAAAGTCTATGAAAGGTACCAGGGGCATCTCATGGGGCCCCCCACTGACCCTGGGCCCTCGGGCAGTTCCCGAGTGACTAAATGGTCAGTCCGCCCCTGGTCTGAGAGTACACCGTTAGTAGTGGCAGCTCAGCTGCTACTCTGGCCCCAGACACCTGGCATCTTCCTCTGTCCTTTCTTCCTCCCCACTGCCCCCCTCCCCTCCCCTCCCCTCAGCTAAACCCAGGCGCCCCTAGCTGGCAGTACACCCTAGGAGGCTGCGTAGTTTGCCTAGTGGAATCACTGGCCCACCGGCTTCACCCAGGCACCCCTAGGTGGCAGTGCACCCTAGGCGGCTGCATAGTTTGCCTAGTGGAATCACTGGCCCACCGGCTTCACCCAGGCACCCCTAGGTGGCAGTGCACCCTAGGCGGCTGCATAGTTTGCCTAGTGGAATCACTGGCCCTGACTGTCCCATCCTCAGCTTCACAGTGACAATTTACAAAGCTATTTTGTTTATTTATCATGGCTTGCTTTTTGGATATTATTCTATTTATAAAACATAATTAAGAATTGATGACAATATCTAATTGCTAATTAATAATGGCAAGCTACTGTAGGCAGCATGACATAAAACAATGTGTTAATAAAACTGAATGTAATTCGGAAATGTGGAATTTGGGAACCCTATCCTATATGCCCTTATATGTCTCCCTCATCTGTTAGCCATAGGAAAACATAGCTCAGATGCAAACTCACTGCCTGGGGCCATCAAGAATAATGTATGACCTGGTCACGTGCATGGGAGCCCCTGGCACATTCATGAGTATGGACTGTAACATAGTCTCTGTAAAGCACATGTATCAAACACAAGGCCCGTGGACCAAGTCTGGCCCTCTAGGCCATTTCATGTGGCCCTCACACCTCTCTTGCCTCTTCCCAGCAGCAGAACAAGGTAAGGGGAGGGGGGTACACAGTGATGTTAGGGTGGGTGGGGGACTCTTGACACCTGATGTAAGGGGAATGAGGTGCTCTGGACATTTTCTTATAATTATTATGAGAATAATACAATTCTATGCCAGCTGAAAAGGAGGGTTGCACACCGCTGGTATTGTCAACAAGAAACATTATTGGAGACTGCTCAAACAGAACACCATGGCAGAACATTGTTCTGTCTGAGCAGTCACCAATAACGTTTCTTGTGGATGAAGTCAGTGGTGTGCGGTCCTCTTTTTCAGACTTGCATCATCTGCTATAGGTGTGTGTGTGCTCCACTCCTGTCTGCACCTGCCCTTCACAGCTAAGTCTTAAGTTACTACTAAATACAGTAATAGTCAAATGTAGAGACAATTATTTAATATGATCAAGAGTAGATACATTTATATAGTCACACAGATGCAACTGGCCTTTTGAGGGCAACCATAATGCTGATGTGGCCATAAAGTAATTGAGTTTGACACCCCTGATGTAGAGTATGATGGAGCTGCAGCTGTAACCATTGTTGGGCCCTGGTAAAACCAGGTGGGAGTCCTGTGAGATATGTTTACCTTTGATGAGTAAGCGTGGTCTTGTGGGAAACCAGGGGTGTTTCAAAGTATATTTACGATTTCTACAGTTAAATATAAAATACAATGTAAGAAACCTCAGCAACCTAGAAAATGCATTTTTGCTTCTTGACAATGGATAACTTGTAATTATGCAATTTACCTGAAGGATAAATAATGGTCTATTGTATTTTAAAATTTCATCGCTGTCATATTTAGCAGTCTTTAGAAATATCATCAATATCTTATTTTTCAACTGGACATGTACTCAAAATAAATTAGATCGTTGCAACTACATTGGGAAGGTGTAGTCTCTGAGAATACTCACTGGTGTAGTACTTTCCTGGATGTGTGGTGGGGTGGTGGGGTGGTGGTGTGGAAAGACTAAGCTGCTTCACCTAGGGAATTTAACCATGTACATTTTTTTCTCAGATTTGTTAAAAGTCCTAATCCTTTGGACATAGAAGATTGGCCTAACTCAGGCTCTATAATCACTGTTGCTCGCCAATTTCCATTTAGCAATCACTTTTCAAAGATGTTTTATATACATTCATTGAGACTTAGGTGTCCCCAATAATTGATGCAGTGTTGTCAAAGACTGGTCAGTAAACTAACAGTTTAAGACAGGGGCATAGTCAAAAATATAGCCAGGAGTTGATGCCAAATATCAAAAGCCAAGCATCAAAACTAGAGCAGGGAGCTAACATTTTGTCAGGAATCATAGCAAGGGCAGGGAGGTGATGTTCAAGGTATGTAGGCCAAATGATGCCAGAAAGAAAAGTCAATTTGGAAGTGTGGACAGCCAAATTCTAGTCTTATGCCTGGTACACACTATCAGTTGTTGTTTTTTTTTTTTGGAGGAGCCGCTGTACTAGCTATCCGATGTTAGTACAGCAATCTCTCCGCTGAGCTATTGTGTTCTGACAGGGGGACTGCCCCCCCCCCCAGAACACATGGGTCAGTGCTCACAGCCATTGGCTGCCAGCACTGTATGGATGCCGATTGGATACTGCTTTTCCAGCATGTCCATTTGACATAAGCCACTGTTCAGGCAGCTTCTGTCGGACAGGTTGGTGTACACATGGACCGAATGTTGGACGATTTCAAATGAACCAGCCAAAACCAGCCAATACTCGGCCCATGTTTATAAGACTTTACTGCTAAGGACTCTTGTATAGCCAAGGTACTTCCCAGATGCATTGTCAACAGCCTATTTCCATTCTTCTGATGGCTCTGAGGTCTTGCAACATCCTAGTATAGTTTGCATGGACTCTAATTTTCAGTCAGGATCATGGTAACAAATACAATGTAGCCAAGCCAACTTTACACCAGATGTAACTATTTTGAAACTTTGCAGCCGGATGGTTCTTTCTATATTGCAATATTTTAATGGAATCTGTGTCCACATAAGAGGTTCATATAAACTGTGTAAGGACTTTTCTTTACATCGTTCTTCCTATGGTCATGCCACCATTGCACATAATTGCTAGATATATTGGGGTTGATTTACTAAAACTGGAGAATGAAATTTCTGGTGCAGCTGTGCATGGTAGCCAATCAGCTTCTAACTTCTGACTAACATAATCAATTAAGCTTTGACAAAAAAAACAACAACAACTGAAAGCTGATTGGTTCACGCTCCAGTTTTAGTAAATCAACCCCTGTGTTTCATATATCGAGTTAACGTAATAGGCAGAAAAGTGAATGGGATTAGCCAGTTTACTGAACTCCATGCAGACATAGAAGATACACATTAATACACTTCTGCATTCATAAATAAATCATTAAATGAATGTGAACGTAGTATAAGTACCTTAATTTTGCTTGATTTCAGCCTCCTGAAATCCTTTTGCTGCCTTGCTAGCACTGTTTTCATTTTATACACTTACATACTAAAATGCATATTTTTGGCCTTAAGATGGAACTAAACCCTCCTCTTCTTTCTAGCAATGGAAGCTACCATCTTACTCTCTGTTTGGTTTGCAGTTGACATGGGGCTGCACATGTCACCAGTTATGAGTTTAACCTTTTTATGGCTTTACAGTTTGGTTGAGAGTACAAGCACCTGTGGCAGTTATCATTCACAGCATGCATTGAATGTAACTGTTTTGGGAAACAGTTGAATTGAGAGATTTAGTTCCTCTTTAAGAGTAGCTAAACCCCCAAAATAGTATATATTTTCTAAAGGTTGAGGGCTTGTAGAATATAAAAGTTGTAGTTGAAAATCACATTCTGCATTATCTTTGTGAAACTACTTATCAAACCTATATTTTCAGTAAAAAAAAATATTTTAGTGCACTCCATCACAACATAAATATACACTCACCAGCCAATTTATTAGGTACACCTTGCTAGTACTGGGTTGGACCCCCTTTTGCCTTTAGAACTGCCTTAATTCTTTATGGCATAGATTCAACAAGGTGTTGGAAACATTCCTCAGAGATTTTGGCCCATATTGACATAATAGCATCATGCAGTTGCTGCAGATTTGTCAGCTGCACATCCATGATGCAAATCTCCCATTCCACCACATCCCAAAGGTGCTCTATTGGATTAAGATCTGGTGACTGTGGAGGCCATTGAAGTACAGTGAAGTCATTATCATGTTAAAATAAAAAGTTTGAGATGATTTGAGGTTTGTGACATGGTGCATTATCCTGCTGGAAGTAGCCATCAGAACATGGGTACGGTGGCACCCGGTGTGGTCTTCCGCTGTTGTAGCCCATCCACTTCAAGGTTCGCCATGTTGCACGTTCAGAGATGGTATTTTGCATACCTTGATTGTAATCAATGGTTAATTGAGTTACTGTTGCCTTTCTATCATCTTGAACCAGTCTGCCCTCTGATCTCTGACATCAACAAGGCATTTTTGTCCACACAACTGCCGCTCACTGGATATTTTCTCTTTTTCAGATCATTCTCTGTAAACCCCAGAGACGGTTGTGCATGAAAATCCCAGTAGATCAGTAGTTTTTTAAATATTCAGACCTACCCATCTGGCACCAACAACCATGTCACATTCAAAGTCACCTAAAATCCCCTTTCTTCCTCAGTCTGATGCTCGTTTTGAACTTCAGCAAATCGTCTTTACCACGACTAGATTCCTAAATGTATTGAATTACTGCCTTGTGATTGGCTGATTAGCAATTTATGTTACTAAGCAATTAAACAGGTGTACATAATAAAGTGGCTGGTGAGTATTATTTTTGTGATATCTAAAAAAGATGAGATTGTGTCAAATAAATAGAAACCAAATAATGTCAGGCCTAAAGTTGTATGCTCATACAAAATGTCTACACATTAACCACTTGCCCTCCTGAGGATTTACCCCCCTTCCTGACCAGGCCATTTTTTGCGTTATGGCGTTGTGTTAATTTAACTGACAATTGCACGATAATGCAGCGCTGCACCCAAATGAAATGTGCGGTCTTTGTTTTCCCACGAATAGAGCTTTCTTTCGGTGGTATTTGATCACCTGTGCACTTTTATTTTTTGCACTATAAAAAAACTACCAACAATTTTGAGAAAAAAACAATATATTTTTGACATTTTACTATTAAACATGACTAGTAAATAAACAATTCTGCTGTTGGCTGTGTCCTGTGCTCATTCCTCCAAAATGGTGTCTCACTAATACAGAAGATATGCCGCTGGATATGTTTCAATAGGTGAAAACAAAGGGAAAAAGCCAAAGGAAATAAAACTGATGCAGCCACCACATCTAATGATTGGTAAGCTGCAATATAATACATTTTTGGTTTTGGGTTTAATACCGTTGTTCAGATCATTTCCACATTGCAACATGGAGCCTGTTGTTAAAATTTAAACAATTGTAACTGTTACTTTGACTTAACACCTTCCATGCCATGATATGCCATAAAGATAATTATCCGTGAAAGTGTTACTCCCCTGTACTGGCTGATATAGAAATTCTAGGGCCCAATCAGATGAGCTGCATACAGAGGAAAATGCTTGCAGGAGAAGAGATCAGAGTGAACAAAAGAATTACCGTAACAGGTTCTGTTGTTTTTGGACCTCAGTAGGGAGACCACTTTTTCTACAGAGAGTATTTCTGTACAACATGCTGACAGCAGACAAGGTCTATAGCTTACTCATGTTGTGGCTGCTTCCTAAACTAAACAAATTGTAAGACATTGCTTGCCTTTTGTTTTGATACACCTGGAATACATTTAGCTGATTTCAACTAAAGCCAGACATACATGGATTGAAAATCATCTGCTTCAGCAGGGACTGACTTCTGTACAACTCCCCTACCAGAGTTTTCCAGTTCGATCAGCACTGCCAGGAAGTAAGGAGGGAAAGAAGGAAAGAAAAAAGGAAGAAAGAAAAAAGGAAGGAAAGAGTGAGGGAAAGAAGGAAAGAAAAAAGGAAGGAAAGAAAAAAGGAAGGAAAGAGTGAGGGAAAGAAGGAAAGAAAAAAGGAAGGAAAGAGTGAGGAAAGAGGAAAGAAGGAAAGAAAAAGGAAGGAAGGAAAGAAAAAAAAGGAAAGAAAAAGAAAGAAAGAAAGAAGGAAGGAGGAGGAAACAGGGAAACAGAAAGAAAGAAAGAAAGAAGAGAAAAAAAAGAAGAAAAAAGAAACAGGAGAGAAAGAAAGAAAGAAAGAAAGGAGAGAAAAGAGAAAAGGAAAGGAAGAAGAGACAAAGAAAGAAAGAAAGAAAAAGAAAGAGAGAAAGAAAGAAGATAGATATTGTAATATATAAACTTCTATCTAAACAAAATACAGGGTATGTATGCACATAATAGATGAGATTTTATTTAAAGAATGGCATCAAATAGCACTCTGGTGTGTAATTTCCTCTTTCTCTGCTTCACCGAACAGATCCAACCATCCAAGACAAGTTTGAATCAAACTGGTGTCTGTGATGAAACAGATCCACTGAATTTAGCACTGACACTTTGATACATTAGGCTTTATGTATGTGAAAGACAGCAAGGGGCCTCCAGTAGATGAGTTTGGGAATACATCTCCTGAATTGCAAACAGCTAGCAATAAGTATTGGACCGTGTTAGCGGTAGCAAGAAGCAAAAACGGTATAGATGATATCTTTCATTGGATAACTGAATATTTGTAATAGTGCAAGCTTTTAAACATTCTTTCTTCTCTTTGTCAGATATGGTGCTATTGAAATAACTGAAAAACCATACATTTATTTACATCGATATACAAGGGTCATTAAAGAAGAAGAGCTGAACAAATGAAGAAATCTAGATGAAGAGACAGATATAGATCAATGGAACAACAAGCAGTATACAAATAAGCATTAAAATGGAGGTGAGAAATAGACCCAATTTATTATGGCATTTTCCCCTCTTGTCTCTAAAATGTAAAGGTGCAAGCAGGGGCGGACTGACCATTTGGAAACTCGGGTACTGCCCGAGGGCCCGGGGTCAGTAGGGAGCCCCATGAGATGCCCCTCGTACCTTTCATAGACTTCTTTGGGTGTGGTTTTGAGTTTGGGCAAGGACACAGGGGCCCCATGATCCCCTATTGCCCGGGGGCCCCATGAGTTGTCAGTCCGCCCCTGGGTGCAAGTTTGTAAGCTACACAGATGACAGCACAGTTAAAATCCTATTAACACATAAATACATCTTTATTTAGTAGGTAGTGTGACGCATTGCATTTATTTTTTAAATGATATTCACATTCTGTGCTCTCCTGTGTTTTTATGAGAATGGAGATCATCAATACTGTTCTGGGCTTTGCAAGTGTTCTGCCACGGAAGGATACATGCTGCTGTTCTACATCAGTTTTGAATTGTTTGTACCATCACATTGGCCCTGCATTGGGACATTGCACTTTCATGATTAAAGAATATGTAAACCCTCACCTTGTAAAACAACCCAAAAAGTTTATGTAGCACCCTCCTACGTAGGTTGCTAGGATGTAAATAGTTTAATTTAGTATAGTGTGGTCTTCTGCTTAACAGGATAAGATATGATATGCAAAACATAGCAGCTTTTCTGCTTAACAGGAAGCTAGAATTGTTAAGTCAGAGACCCTGTGAGGTTTTCAGTGCTGCTGCTGTGATTGGCTCCTCTGTATCTAAGAGACTTTGGAAGGTTGTGGGTTAACAGGAGTGACCCATGCAGATCAGCAGCATGAATATGCAGTTCCAGCCAAATACCGGCAGTGGTGTCCCTGAGAATGCTGGGAACTAGTATTTATAATCAGCGAGCACATATGACCTGGGTGCTTCTTCCTCTTCCTCTGAGAAGGGAGTTCCAGCCAGGGTGGAGGCGGCTGCCTCCTTGACTCATGCTACCAGGAACTCTTGGGTGGACAACCCGAGGGCCAGAATGCTGAAACCCAGGGTACTTATGAGAGCTGACTAAGGGAGATCCTGTCTGGTATCACGGAGGAAGCTGACCTGCAGCAAGGGCCTTGTGAGTACAGGCTGTTCTACATGGATGCTGGGACTTGTGCTGTCCCCTTGGGACCTACATAGTCAGCTTCTGGGTGTATGCTAGAGGGAACACTGGCTGGTGTCCAAAAGAGCAACTGTCCACTAAGTCTGAATATCTACAGAGGGACTTTGCTATATTCTTCTACAGTCTGCTACACAGTTCCACTTTGAGAAAGCTGTCCTCAATTGTGCATAGTTTGATTCAGAGTATCCTACTTCCCTATCCCAGTTCAAAAAAACTAAATAAAACAACAAAAACTATAACCCCCAGACTGATCATTGAAATAACAAGCAGAAGTTGTGTGCAACTATAGGCTATAGGAAATGTGGTGTGCTTGGCTGTGGGAGAAGATCTAGGGGAAAGCCTGGGCAAAGATACAAGCCGCTCCCATGTGGGTAGCACTACATTTAAAACAGAAATGAAAGTCAAAACATTTGTGTATATATATAAAAAAATTATAACATTTTCCCTTTTTTTATAAGTGACCACATACCCTCTGTTCTCAGCAGCATGAAGAAGTGATTGTGGAGAAATAGCTGCACACTGATCTTCCCAGTAAATGGCTGTGCAAGGGAGGGGGGGGGATATGAAATGTTGGGTTTACATATTATTTAAGTACAACCCAGTGGAAAATCTGCAGGAGAATGCATGATTGATTCTGTGTGTGTGTGTGCTGGGAGGTTTAAATTGTTTGCAGGCACGGAGCTATGTCATATGTCATAAAACTTTTATATCTCTGCAGATAATAATTTGTTTTAGGTTTAAAAGATGCCTTAAAGACAAGAGGCAAGGGTACCAGGAACCTGCAGGACTGCTAGAATACCGGAAATTGGCATGAAGGTTAATGGACCTGAATGATGCAATGTTAGTACCTAGCAGCGGGTGTTAGTGGCTAGTATATCCTGGCAATTAGTCACACCACCTAAAGCTGGCTACTGGAAGGCTATTTAGCTCTTTCTTGTCTTTTATGTCTTGATTATGCTCTCTTTATTTAGAGGTTAATCTTTTGTAAAAAAAAATTAAAACAAATGCACATTATTTTGCAGATAAAACAATTAGCATTTTTTTTTTTTTTAAAGGCAACCAGTAAAGCAATGCACCCACGATCAGTAGATCTCCTACATACACTCAGTACAGCTGTCTGCCTGTACCTCCCATATGGGCAGACAGTTACTGAAGTGCAGGAAGAATCAATGCTCACCAGCACCCTCGCAGTTCATTGAGAACTATAAGCCTTCTGCCATGGTGGAAGACTAGACTTGTAGTTCATTCAGTCACAGAACTCTGTGAAACAATGATGTGGCTGTAGCCCCACACAGCTGCGCTGTTTTTAAAATGTGACAGTGGGTGTTACAAATGGTTAAATTTATCCTTCAACCTGTTTATACCTTTTGTACAACACAACATGCATTGTACAAACTGTCTTTGACAAACTGTACATTGGATGTAAATCTTTTTTCTGACTCTGCTAATAAACTCTTTTTTAAAAGATAAAAACAGCATGCTGTTTTATCCCAGCGTGGTGTGATTTTGAAGAAGACTTCACGTAAAAAAAATGGCATGCATACCCCCCCTTAATTTCATACCAGACCCTTGGAGTCTGGTATGGATTTCAAGAAGGAACCCCGCTCAAAAATTAAGAACAAAACATGAGGTCTCTCAAAAATCTGTACTAGACTATTATCTGAGCATAGAGCCTGGTAGGCAAGCAAAGGGGAGACACATGCTCTCCAGAATCATGCCAGACCACATACCCTTGAACATGGGGGGTCCCCCCAACAAGGCAGCTTGTCCCAATGTTGATGAGAGCAAGGCCCATTTCCCCACCAAAATCCTGGCCCAGTGATTGAGGGAGTGTGCAAGTATGGGGCTTATCAGGATCTGGAAGCCCCCTTTGGTAATAAAGGGGCCCCTAGATATTGTCCCCCATGTGAATGAGTTCACTAAATGTATAGTCACCATAGGGTAAAAATCTAAACCAGTCCACACTTAGCTGATTGGATGGTGGTATCTTTCCTGTTCTACCAAAGGCCTTTTTTGTCTTCTGCTTGATTTATTTAGTGTATTTAGTGTAGTGGTCCACTGTTTGATGCCTTGGAAAATGTATGGGGATACTTCCATGTAGTCCTATGGGTTATCACCACAGGACAAAAAGGTGACATATATGATATACTTTGGATTACTTTTTGTCTTTTACGTATGTTTTTGAAATAAATTAAATATTTAGAAATATTCAGGGTGTAATATGCAACATGTTGCAAACAGACCGGCTCCCGCATGCCCCCTGCTCCCCTGTTTTGACAGCTAGTGGGGGATCTTCCCTCCCCCCCCACTAGCTGTTACAATTTTTAAAAAACGTGGCCGAGCGGTGCTCCGCTCGGCCATGTTACTCATTCAAAGTTATACAGTAGGTAACAGCATATATTATCTCTTGAAAAGTAGGTGTGCAGAGTATAACAGTACAGTATGTAGTAACATGTGCATTTGATTGACAATATGCACCAATAATAAGAAGTGAACTTTTACATGTGAAGCATAAACTGTAGCTTCCCTCCAGGTGTTGAAAATCTATTTAAAACTCAAGTCAAAAAATACAGTTCCCGGCATTCTCTCTGCCCCCAAGCAGTTCAGGGAGGTCAGTGTGCTCATCACCCCCATCTTGTGATATAAAAGGTAACTGCTAAACTTAACTCTCACATTACAATCATTAAACGTCCTGCAAACTTTAATAACATAAAACCTTGTTACATAATATACAAAAAAAGGAAATAAAATAAGTTTACTTTTCATTTTATTTTATTTTTTATTTATTTATTACTTTATCAATGTTTTTATCCAAGATTCACACAGGGGTGGACTGACAACTCATGGGGCCCCCGGGCAATAGGGGATCATGGGGCCCCTATGTGCTTGCCCAAACTCAAAAAAGCCTATGAAAAAGGTACCAGGGGCATCTCATGGGGCCCCCTACTGACCCCGGGCCCTCGGCAAGTGCCCGAGTTTCCAAATGGTCAGTCCGCCCCTGGATTCACGTAACATCTATACACAAATCATTGTTCACATCAGATTCCATTAGGAAAATGTGTAATCTTGACTGGAAGTTGTGTGAATTAACGGTGAAAACATTGATAAGTAGACCCTGATGTAGATTTTCCACATTATCCATGTTTGTATAAAGAAACATACTTTGTGGTCTAAGGCTGCTCAATAAAGTAGTTTGATGTTTAAATAATTCTGAATATCTAGATTCCTTTATCTATTAATAGACAAATTTAGTCAATTGCATCCCAATTACAGGTAAGAGATTAATCTGAACACATAATAATAATAATAAAAACAAGAAAAAAAAATAAAAAACTCAACTTGTGCACAATCGGCCTTATTGAAATAATGCAGAATTTCAGAAAAATAAACATGAATGACATAAACTACACTCAGGTTTTGCAGCTGTACAAAAATGGTAGGGAAATAATACACACTGCATGTAGATTAAAAGTCCTACAGGTAAAGATAGCGCAATCACTAAAAAAGGAATACAATTTTGATAGTAGTTTTTACTTAAAAAGCCCTCCTTAAATCTTTTTATCACAATATATATCCCTATCGCCTGATAATACTTTAATAAACTATAGTTACATAGTTAATCTAGTTGAAAAAGGCACAAGTCCATCCAGTTCAATCAACAGAAGAAAAAAAAAACCACACACAAATAGAAAACCTCTATATACATTATTCAATACCCACAGGTGATCCAGATTTCATGTGCGACTTGCATTTACATATGTGCATGAAGTCGCACAGATGTCGGCAAGCTGCACATGAAATCATACTGGGTGGCGTCTTTGAAGTGAAGTAGCATGATTTCAAAGCTGAATTTGATGTGAACCAGGACTAATGCTATGTTGATGTAGCTATGGCTTCCTCATCTATATTTTGTGGTATTGTAAATCCATCAGATCTCACTGGAATCTGAATTTCACATCTATTTCAGAATTCACTCCCCCACCTCTCCTCCATCTTAACATTGAACTTGTTCTCACAGCAAACAGGATGATTATCATACACATTTTTCTCTCTGACAAACTCAATATAATGAGACACTGGAAGTCTTCGGACATAC